AACTGCTAAAATTGCTGATGAGGACATCAGTCGCAAATCACACCTATGTTCTACTCCAGACTGGCTTTCAGTCTGTAGAGATTCTCAAGTCACCCATGTCATGATTGCCCCAAAGGTGTTTCAAGGACCTTCTAAAAGGATGCAAATGACCAGCTGTCTGCAAGGAATATAAACCCTTCCATTCCCCATCATCCAGTCAGAGCTGAAGAAGCTTCTTGGATGAGAAGCAAAACTTCTTCAAAGAAAAAAAAAAGAAAGTCCAGTTGAAAAAAGCACCTTTGGGACAGCTTTCAAATACTATCTTTTAAAAAACATGAAAAGTAAAAATGATCCCACATTTAACTAAACCCTTTACCACCTGTTACACGTTCTTCCTATAAAGATAGTCCTCCAGTTACAACCGTAACTGAGCCTAGTAATTAAGATCGCCATGAACAGGTCACTGTGTGACTGGAGTTGATTTCATGACCTTCTTCCCGGTGGTTACTAAGCAAACACCACAGATGTTTTTAGCAAAACTGTTACAAATTGCATGCACGTGATCATGTCCATAGATGCAGGCCAATGCAGTGCTGAGCGCCCAAAATCTGGTCACATGACTGCCGGAGAAGGATGCACCTCCTAACTTCGAAACTGGGTTGTAAGTCCTTTTTGGGGGCCCTTTGTAACTTCAAAATGTCATTAAACTACTGAGTGTAGGTCAAGGACTGACTACCTGTACTTCCTATTAGGTTTTTTTTTGCTGTCCTTGTCTTCTGGAAGAGGCGTGGACTTCAATTCCCAGCATTCCCCCAGAACGTTATTCTAGATCAGCGTTTCTCAACCTTATCAACTTTAAGATGCGTGAACTTCAACTCCCAGAATTCCCCAGCCAACAAAGCTTGCTGAATTCTGGGGGGGTTGAGATCTATGGATCTTAAATTCGGTAAGGCTGAGAAACACTGATCTAGAATAACGTTTCTCAACCTTGCAATTTGAAGATGTGAAGACCAGCTCCTAGAATTCCCTAGCAAGGCTGGCTGAGGAATTCTGGGAATTGAAGTCCACCCATCTTAAAGTTACCACGGTTGAGAAACACTCTTCTACAAAATTAGGAACAGATAAGAAAGTTATTGTTTCTGATGGAAAAGAACATTGGTAGCTCAGGATTAAACTGTGAGATCCCCATGCTCTCTGAGCTTGGCTTTTTTCTTGCAGACATTTCATTACCAAACTAGATAACATCATCAATGCAAGCTCTTGTTTCTTTGCCATTATTTGTCAACCAACTGTTCACATGAGACGCGGTGGCGCAGTGGTTAGAGTGCAGTACTGCAGGCTACTTCTGCTGACTGCAATTTGGCAGTTCAAATCTCAGCAGGTTCAAGGTTGACTCAACCTTCCATCCTTCCAAGGTGGGTAAAATGAGGACCCAGATTGTTGGGGGCGAGAGGCTGACTCTGTAAAACCGCTTAGAGAGGGCTGGAAACCACTACAAGGCAGTATATTAAGTCTAAGTGCTATTGCTATTGTAAATCAATGTTTTGCGTGGAATTAAAACACATTCTTTCATTCGATCGGCAAACTGAGGCACTTACCATTTCGTTTCGACCAGTGATGCAAACAAGTACTCTTCACAAGCGCCTCGTCAACCTTCCCTCCGGACATGTTGTCCATAAACTGGCGTCCGTGTTCCAATGCGAGATAGCAGTCGTAGCAACAGTCTCTTTCCTCGGCCCGCACCAGATTGCCCGTGGCGCCGACTTTGGGCAGGGGGTCTTGATCTGCCGCTCCAAACGGCGAAAACAAGTTGGTGCACTGGTCTTGCAACAAAAGTATCAGCTCGTCGGGAAGCCGGTCCGCCTCCTTCAAGCTTCCACTCTGCTCGACGGAAGCCGTGCGAAGGGCCTCGAAGCGTTTCTCCACTTCTTTGCCGCATTCCGAATTGCGGCCCAAGATGTCTAACTCATCCTCGAGGAACAATCCCGAGCTGTTGCCAAATTTCCGGTTCATGACCGCGCTGAATCCACACGTGCACCTGTACTGGGCTTCCTGGGTTGGGTCTGGAATGTAAACTCCAACGTCAGCACCTTTGATGTTCATGTTGCAAACGCAAATGCAACAGCTGTCAAAGTTACAGTCTTTGAAAAGATTCATCACCGATTCGGATAGAATGAGGGTCACATAGAGGCTGTGCGCCTCGGGAATTGACGGGACCGTCGCCGGCTCGACCGAGTTTAAGGGCCTGCAGGTGGATGGGGTCGAGGCTGGCGAGTACAAATCGGAATTCTCATACTTGACGGAGCCTTGCGCGCTTGCTGGCCCACCCGCCCCGCGGGGAGTCCGAGGCGTCCTTGGAGTCCGGGGAGTTGGGAAGCGGGGGGTGGAAGGGGAAGGAAGGATCCCAGCGCCGCTATTGCTTGGCGGGGCGCTGCTGGGGGGCATACCGAAGGGGGTATGTGTCTGCGGAGTGTAGGCAGGGCCATACTCTTGATCAACGGTGCTCCCGTCCCTGGAGAAGGAAGGGAAAAGCTTTTAATTCAAGACTTTCAAAGTGTATGCATTGAACCTAATGGGACATATAATGACCAAAGCATACCGTTTTGTGGAGTATAAGATGCACTCCCCCTCTCCCCCCCCAAAAAAAGTGGGTGAAAATTTCAGTGCGTCTTATAAACCGAATACGGGCCCGTTTTTGGTCTCCCAAACACTCTGTGCATCACATTTTCACCCGTTTTGGCAAAAACGGGACACATAGAGGGTTCGGGAGGCCAAAAATGGGCCTGTTTTTGGCCTACAAACTGCTTCTGGGAGTCGGGGCGGGCGAAAATGGGACGCACATAGGCCAAAAACTATTTTTTTTCTTGTTTTCCTCCTCTAAATCTAGATGTGTCTTATAGTCCGAAAAATACAGTAATTATAAAGAGTTATACAGATAGTCTAATGACCATAATGGAGCCTACCAAGGGTTATTCAGGTAGTCATCGACTTACAACCACCATTGACCCCAAAATTTCTGTTCTTAAGTGAGACATTTGTTAGTTTTGAGACATTTGTTAGAAATTCGAGTTTTGTCCCATTTTACAACCTCTCTTACTGCACTTTTTAAGTGAATCACTGTAGTAGTTATGTTAGTCACATGGTTGTTAAGTGAATCCAGCTTCCCCGTTGACTTTGCTTGTCAGAAGGTCACAAAGGAGATCAGGTGACACTCCCCGCCCCCCCCCTCGGGACACCTGTGACCGACATAAATACAAACCAGTTGCCAAGCATCTGAATTTTGATCACGTGACCCCAGGGATGCTGTAACGGTTGCAAATGTGAAAAATGATCATAAAGTCACTTTTTCAATGATGTTATCTTTGAACAGTCACTAAACGGACTGTTGTTAAGTCGAGGACTACCCACCTGTACAGTCATAGGTCATGATGGTCATACAGAGAGTCATCATGTGACTGGACCTGATTTCATTACTCTTTTTGAATTAGTCGTTAAAGAAAATGCCAAAGCAGTTAAGCTAATGCCACGATCATTAAATGAAAACAATGTTCCTGAAAAGAGTAAGGTTCTACATGTAGGCAAAAAAAAAAAAAAAAAAATGCACAGGTACAGTATAGGTGGTACCTTGCTCAGTAATAGTAACTGTGAGAGGGATCTTGGAGTCTTAGTGGACAACCATTTAAATAGGAGCCAGCCGTGTGCAGCAGCTGACAAAAAAGCCAACACAGTTCTAGGCTGCATAAACAGAGAGATAGAATCAAGACCACGTGAAATGTTAATACCACTTTATAAGACCTTGGTAAGGCCACATACGGCATTCAGTTTTGGTCGCCACAATGTAGAAAAGATGTGGAGACTCTAGAAAGAGTGCAGAGAAGAGCAACAAAGATGATTAGGGGACCGGAGACTAAAACATATGAGGAACGGTTGCAGGAACTGGGTATGTCTAGTTTAATGAAAAGAAGGACTAGGGGCGACATGATAGCAGTCTTCCAATATCTCAGGGGTTGCCACAAAGAAGAGGGAGTCAAACTATTCTCCAAGGCAACTTAGGGTAGAACAAGAAGCAATGGGTGGAAATTAATCAAGGAGAGAAGCAACTTAGAACTGAGGAGGAATTTCCTGACAGTGAGAACAATGAATCAGTGGAACAGAAGTTCCCTCCAGAAGTTTTGAATGCTTCAACACTGGAAGTCTTTAAGAAGATGCTGGATAGCCATTTGTCTGAAATGGTAAAGGGTTTCCTGCCTAGGCAGG